TTTTCGGAGTTCCATCTTGTTATATGCTTTAAACTTCCATTAGAGCTCTCCTAAGAGCTAGTTGATGCTTGTTCCAAGCCTTACACTTGCATGAACGCTTATTAAGTCGAAATAGCTATGGATCTGAATGTTGGGGTGTTGTAGAGCCCAGATCTACTGTCTTTTTGGAGTTATATTGCATGATAACCATAGATCTACCCATTTTGTGCATCTTTTAGCCTTATTTCCCTTATTCATGAGGTTGTACACGTAAAGTTGGAAACTTTACGTGGTAAATCAGCTTATTGGACCAGATCTATCAATTGTATGTGTTGGATTCAAACAAAATCAAGTAAAAATCAGTTGCATGGCAGCAACTCGGCGAGTCGGAAGAACGACTCGACGAGTTGGGTCGCGAGTCCCGAGTTCTTCAGTTTTATCAGTGTTGAAGGGATGAGGTGAGTTAGGGAGTGGACTCAGCGAGTTGAGGGTAAACTCAGTGATGAAGGGACTCGGCGAGTTGTTCATCAACTCGGCGAGTCCAAGGCAATCTTCTTAAAGATCAAGAACAACTCGTCAGTTGTTCATCCGGCTCGGCGAGTCGGATGAAGATTGTCTGAGTTCTTGGATCAAGAGGGTACTCGTCGAGTCGATGCCAGACTCGACGAGTAGCAGTGAGTAAGAGTGAAAAGTGAGAGTGGGACTCGGCGAGTTGGGTGGCCCAACTCGGCGAGTCAGCCCAAAAGATAATTGACTTTGACCGAGGGTAAAAGAGTCATTTTACCCCAAGCGCAGTGTTTAGTATTTGATTGAGTGTGTTTATGGACTTGTAGCCGAGGAGATTCAGGAGAAGCCTCCGTTAGCTTTCCGAGCCACACACTCAGCAGCCAGCTTACGAGGTGAGTTTCCTTCCAGTAGGAACGGGTCTAAGGCCACAATGCCGGCCCGTTCAGTTAGCAGTAGCTTCCGGATTTAGGTCCGATGCAGTAGTTAGTATGTTCGATGCCTTCGTGGCTTGAACAGGATTTATGTGCTATGTTTTATGTGTTAAGTATTATGTGTTCCGGGCCTCGGACCGATGTAGCATGTCGTATATGTGTTATGCTAGTTGATGTGTTATGCTATGCCATGTTCAGCCAGTCAGTTCCAGACTTCGGTCCGATGCAGTTAGTTCCGGACTTCGGTCCGATGCAGGGGACAAGGTCCCAGTCAGTTACGGACTTCGGTCCGATGCAATTAGTTCCGGACTTCGGTCCGATGCAGGGGACAAGGTCCCAGTCAGTTCCGGACTTCGGTCCGATGCAGTTAGTTCCGGACTTCGGTCCGATGCAGGGGACAAGGTCCCAGTCAGTTCCGGACTTCGGTCCGATGCAGTTTCCGGGCTTCGGCCCGATGCAGTGGGCAAGGCCCAATATGTGTTTATATGTTATTGTATGGTATGTGGTAATTTGGGGGAGCTTACTAAGCTTCGTGCTTACAATTTCAGTTTGGTTTCAGGTACTTCCGCAAGCAAAGGGAAGAGCTCGGAGTGACAGCATCGCACACACCACAACATAGCTTTTATCCTGGGGATGTCTCTTGATGTTTTGGGTTGATGTAGTATGATACAGTTTTCCGCACAATATTTTATTATGTTTTGGGGATACATCGCGTATGTTTTATGTTATGTTACTTATATTATGGTTTTGATTATATTGAAAAACGAAAATTTTTGGGTCGTGATTTTGGGTCGTTTCAAAAGGATACCAATTATCTTCAAAAACATAAAAGCTAACCCTCTCTTTCATCTCAATGCATCTTCACATTGTCCTAACATTGAATAAATATCTGATAATAATATATAATTTCTTGAACTCTCGGGGTTCCATTTCAAGAAAGGATCTTGCAGCATGTTCTCTACCATTTCATGATTTAATTGGATTCTAGATGCACCCAATAAAGAACCTCAAATAGCAGCATTGGGTTACAAGTCATCTTTTCAATGAACTCCAACATGTCTAAGAATTCACAAGAATGCACGATTAAATCCCCCATACACACATATTGCTCGATTGCATGTATTTTTTTTTCATTATTTTGAAGTAATCTCTCCCTGTTTGGGAATGAATTCCACAATGTGCTCTTTTCACACAGCTGTATGCTCAACAAAGGATCCTTATATTTATTGAGTCGTTTTAAACTCATTTGCTTCGAAATACATAGAGAATCTATTAGGCATGTCATCATTTATGTTCTTGTCCATAACATCAATGTCTTCATTGGTTTTTTGGCATGAGGATGAAGCCATTACCAACCTCGGTTAAGTAACAAAACAAATGGAGAGAAGTGCATCATTATTCGGATGCCATATTTGAAATCATGAACCTTACAAGTTACAAGGTCGGTTATCTTGCATCAACACCTGCAAATTTACTTCACATAATGTAATAGCACATGCAAACATGAACACCCAGCTCCAAATGGTAGAAGAAATAATACCCTACTTCTCTATCGCTGATATTAATTGATTTACATACCTTATGTTTTAGGAAGTGGCGGTGTGCAAAAGGTGATAGCTGTATACTAAAATGGCATGTAAAATATTTGCTAAAGTGGTTTAATTAATATAAGTATATAACATAAGGGATAATGACTTGAAAGGGTAACGAACTTTCGATTTTTGTCACATTTGGTTACTAAACTTTTTTTCGTTATCTATTTGCCATTGAACTATTGAAACTGTTCACATTTTACCCTTATGACCAGGTGTTACCGGTCATAAGGGTAAAATGTGAACAGTTTCAATAGTTTAGTGGCAAATAGATAATGAAAAAAAGTTTAGTGACTAAATGTGAACAAAATCGAAAGTTCGTTTCCCTCTAAAAAGTTCAATGACTAAATGTGAACAAACTTCTTATTGTATTATATTTTAGCAAAATTATTTATTTTTGTTTAATTGTAGCAACATTTGTTGATGAAGAAATCTATGAAATAAAAAAACAAAATGTAACATCCGGATTTCCAGGTATCATCATTTAAGTATTTTTCTTTTGAGTTAAGAAGAGAGACTCGACGAGTTGACGCCTCAACTCGTCGAGTAAGGTCGCGACTGATGACTCGGATTAATGAATGGACTCGACGAGTCCGCGCTGTTGGCAGAAACCCTAAATCTTTGGGCTCGAGCCATATTTAAAGGCACTTATGGCCTTCAATTGCGACTACCTTTCCCATAAGTGAGAACCCTAGCGAGCTTGAGTGTGTAGAGTGAGAGGAAGAGCTATCTTGAGCTTTTTGGTGTGATAGATCTGGACCCTTCTAGGTTCAGAGAGCCGAGAATATGAAGCTTTAGTAGAGTAAACCTTGGGGTTCAAAGTTAGGAAGCATTTATGGTATATATAGTTACTTTCATCTTACACATAGATATGAAGTATTTTATATAAATTACGTGCTATGTGTGCATATTATTTGAATACTTGTTGTCTATGCTGGATGAACGATTTTATACATGTTTTAAAAGATTTAAACGGTATATTTATTTTATATCTACAAAGCATGTGGTGAAATAGGTGTGTGATGAAATAAAATGATGAGAGATAGGTGATGATAGAAAGGTGGTGATAATTAGGTAAATAGATGATGATGAATATGTGATGTAGGATGAAAGGAGATACCATAACCTTAACCAGCAATGTGGCGATGTAGTCATCTACCAGAGTATAGATGGCGACCACGGACTATTCTAGACAACCCAGTGGAAACACCAGCAGACCCATAACCTGTAGGTGATGAATTACGAGTTCACGATGTTGTAACTACGTATTCATGTGATGATACTCTAACCTCTTACTATGAATTACGAGTTCAGACGATGTTGTAACTACATATTCATGGGATGTCACAAATTTCGCATGCCAAACCAATGGTTATAATTCACATCAGTGAGAATGATTCATTTTTTTGTAAAACTAGAATCAGATTGGAAATTTTGATTTTTTATTTTGGAAAATGTCAAACCATTGGTTTTTTATTTCGGTTTTGGTTTTTTGTTTTTTTTTAAATATATTTTCAGTGTTTTGTTTTGTTTTTTGTTTTTTGTTTTTTATTTCATAGATTTCTTCATCAACAAATATTGCTACAATTTAACAAAAATAAATAATTTGCTAAAACATAATACAAGAGGAGGTTTGTTCACATTTAGTCATTGAACTTTTTAGAGGGAAACGAACTTTCGATTTTGTTCATATTTAGTCACTAAACTTTTTTTCGTTATCTATTTGCCATTGAACTATTGAAACTGTTCACATTTTACCCTTATGGGTAAAATGTGACCAGTTTCAATAGTTCAATGGCAAATAGATAACGAAAAAAAGTTTAGTGACTAAATGTGACAAAAGTCGAAAGTTTGTCTTTCAAGTCATTATCCCATAACATAATTAGACTAAACCTAAAAATCGTGACAAACATATAGAATTCTTGTAATTTATTCGTCCAATAATATAATAAAAATAAAACGTTGGTTGGTGTATAATGGACTTTTATTTCTTTTACGTATGAATAGAAGATGGTTTGACTTTGAGTACATAATAAACATATAGATTTTCTTGTAATTCGTTTCACAGCTGTTTTTCAAGCAAACGCATCATGTTGACCTTACATGTGGATCCACAATCTTGGGTTGCTGCTGCCGCCTACTGCACTATATTGTTCTCTCTCTCTCTCTCTCTCTCTCTCTCTCTCTCTCTAATTAGGTACACATATTCAATTTCTTCTAGTTTGAAATTATATGTTAATTGTTAATAGGCCTTTTATTGCAAACTATTCATAGTTAAATCTTTTTAGATGTTAATTCTTAATTGTGGGTAGTAAGTTTTAGGTAAGGTTTGCAATTGCGATTTGTTAGTTTTTAATAATTAATTGTTGGTATTAACTGAGATTTGTTAGTTGTTAACTTTTAACTTTTAGCTTCTTTTCATTATAAGAAAACTTTGCTTTAACAAAGATTTGATTTGATTAATTAACAGGATCTGTCAAGGATACCTTCAATGGCTTCTTCTTCAAAGTTACCTATTCAGAAGAGCTATAAGTATAACGTGTTCTTGAGTTTTAGAGGGGAAGACACTCGTAAGAATTTTGTTGATCATCTTTATGTTGCTCTAGAAATTCAAGGTATTCACACTTTTAAGGATGATGAGAGACTTGAGAAAGGAAAAAAGATCAACGATGAGCTTTTGAAATCCATTGAAGAATCAAAATTTTACATTGTTGTGTTCTCAAAGAACTATGCATCTTCCTCTTGGTGCTTGGATGAGCTTGTGAAGATTATGGAGTGCCAAAAGGTGATTGAACAAATTGCTTACCCTGTGTTCTACGATGTGGATCCTTCTCAAGTCCGCAAACAACTAGGACCAGTTGGAGAAGCTTTTTCCATACATAACAATGAGGGGAAGGTAGAGAAGTGGAGAGAAGCTTTGAGAGAAGCATCCAATCTGGCTGGATGGGATTTGAGGAACACTGCTGATGGGTAATTCTTTAATCATGCCTCAACAATTTTTTTGCTTTGTTTCTGTTTAATCTATGTGCAAAAGGGTCATCCATGGCATCTCATGTTTTATTGTAAAATTCTAACCAAAATCGACTATTTCAATGATGAAGAATGCAATATTGAGCATGGAGCATCTCATGTGAATAGTTAGCAAGCTAACTGATTCTATTTTATTGTACAGGTATGAAGCTAAAGTCATCAATAAAATTGTTCAAAAGATTTCACTCGAGTTACGATTCAATAATTTGGAAGTCGACAGAAAGCTAATAGGCATGGAGAGACGGCTAAAGGATATTGTGTAACAACCCGAAATTTCCGCTTCTTTTTAAAAGTAACTTTTTCATAAATCAACTCGCGCAACCGATCGTCGTTCCGATTTCCGATTTCCGATTTCTCCGTTTAATTAAGTCATTAACTAGTACACATTTAAAATGACTTAATGGGTGTCTTAATACATTTAGAAATCAATTTAACACCCAACTTTAGTGATCGGAATAATTCTAGAATATACCGTATCGAGTTACGGTAACTTAATCGGGTACGACCAAAAACCCCGTCTAACGCCGGTATCGGGTAGAATTCCACCGTGTCCAAAACTTAAACACTATATAAACGTGTTTAAGACTTCATTTGAAGCCTTTTGGCAAGTTTCTCACTAAACTCTTACAACCTCTCTCCTCAAGCTAGAATTAAGGTCCAAATCACAAGTTTAAGGCTTCAAATCTTTAAGGTAACCTCCCTAACATGTTATTCAACACCTTTAGCCTTCAAATTGATGAAATAATTGAGTTTTAGGTCCAAGAACATGAGTTTACGGCCAAGGAACAAGCTTGGGCCGTAAACTCCATTTAATGGGGTTTTAAGCCCTTAAACTCCTTCCTAAACTCAATTGGACTTTAGATATGGCTATGGGACTTCAAGATATGGACTTAGGACATTTAAAACTATGATTTTGAGCCATTTAAAGGAGTTTACGGCCAAGGCATAAGCTTAGGCCGTAAACTCAAGTAAAAGGGGTTTTTCATGCCCTAAAACCCTTCCAAATCACTCCTATGGCTTAGATATGAATTGTAGGACCTTGGTTTTAGCATTTGGACACTTGAAACATGAATTTTGTGGGACTTATAAGAGTTTACGGCCAAGGCTTGTTCTTGGGCCGTAAACTCCCCAAAATGTGACATAAACCCAATTCTAGAGTGTTAGAAAGCCATCCAACACCACCAAAAGACTTGGAATAAATCAAGGGACCAACCAAAAATGCTTTAAGGGTCTAAAACACATCATTTGTGGGACTTATAAGGGTTTACGGCCAAGGCTTGTTCTTGGGCCGTAAACTCCAAAACTTTTGGTGTTAGAATGCAAACTAAACACCCCTAAAGCCTTTAGATGAATTTTAGAAGCCCTTCTATGCAAGTTTTAGACCTTGAAACACTTTGTATGACCCTACATTAGAGTTTACGGCCATGAGGAGGGTCTCATGGGCCGTAAACTCCATAACACCCCTCAAATGTCACATAAAAATCATACTAGGTCTTGGAATAATCTTATGAATCACATGTGATTTGTTTTAACAACATTTGACACCCATTTCATGAAGATTAAGGAGTTTACGGCCAGGAGCCTATACTGGGCCGTAAACTCCCATAAAATAAGCATTTTGATGATTTGAATTCAGTCCAAGTGTTCCAAGACAATTTAGAAAATCCATTCTAGCAACCTCTAGGTCCATTTGAGCCCTTAAACCCTCAAAACCACACCAACATGAGTTTACGGCCGTAAACTCATGTGTGAGTGTGTTTCATGGTTGTAAACTCATTTAAATGTTTACTTATGGAGAGTAAACTCATGTCCCAAGTCCCTAGTGCCATTACAAGTCCGAAGATGTCACCCGGGTCACTCCAAACGCTCATTTTGAGGTGTTTAACCTCATTGGAGTGTAATGTTCCATATGATTAGCGAGTAATCAAACCCCGAACCGACGTCTAGCATTCAAAACCGACATGTTTCCGAGTCCGGTGAGTTCATACCCCTACCCTTTTTCACTGTTTTCACTGTTTTCAGGGGGGGAACACAAGCAAAGTACAAGGAAATTCTTGTACTCATAACATGTTTTCAAATGTGTGTTTCATATTCTTATGCTTTTATAACTGATAACTACAACTGATAATAGATCGAACATACAAATCACGTAACATATATTTGTGAAATAAGTCTTTAAACTAGTATGTTTTACATGTATTTCACAAATGGTTTTCCACATTTTATCAGTTAAAAGCATGACATTAAAACATTTGAATATAATACCTGTACACTGTTTTGTCCTCGGTAACACTCCACGCACATACGCGAGTGGAGGACTTTCATATTATTACTAGTAAATTTGTTATTCCGGTACGATTGGAGACACGTCCTCGGAGAACACTCCACCTGGATTACGCGAGTGGAGGACTACACCCATAACCAGAATCTCTGGTATTTAGAGAGCGTGACTTGAGTGTATAGATCTATACGGGGCTGACTACCCCACACCTGGCTGCTAGCTACAGCCGAACCGAAATGGTTCAAGGGTGACGAAAGTCATAAGTATGTGGACGACTTATTGCCACATGTGGACTACTTATTGCCACAGGTTTCAGTCTATTGTATGGTTATGGAACTCGCAATTAGGATAACAGAGATTTACTTACAGTAATAATGGATTTCTTTATACATCGTTTACATCGTTTACATCTTTTACATCTTTTACTTACTGTAACTAACATTCAGGAAGGTACGGGACCTTCCTGGGGAAAACATGGAATCTAATCACGATTACATCTTTTACATCTTTCACATCGTTTACATAAGATACATACATGCAGGAAAGCATGGGGCTTTCCTGGGTAACACTTACATAACTAGAAAGAGTCACAGAATGGATAACATTACATCTTTTACAATTTGTAACATACAATAAGGAAAGTATGGGACTTTCCTGGTAACACATGATAAGTAAACAGAACAGTTTAACCAGTCAGATAACCAACTATACATTTTCACATGAGTAAACATGTTTTCAGTGTACAAACTTACTATACTTTACATTTGTGAAACAATAACCAACTTTTAAGAAAATACGGGATTTTCTTGGTGTACATAACATTTCAGAAACAGAAAGGAAACCGATACATTTTCGTAAAACAAAACCGCTTATGAACTCACCAGCTTTATGCTGATTTTCAAACCGCTTGTGTTCTCAGGTCAGCGTTAGAACAGGTACCCGAAGATCCTTTTGCATGAAGACGGTGTACATGAAGACCCGTTACATTTTGTCTATATATACTATGTATCACAACTGTACAAACTTTACTTTTGAAACAACTGTAAAACTGTTATTATGTAATGTAATGCTTGTTTTACTTTACTTACTATGTACATTGGATTTGATACTCAACACGGTAGTCAACCCCGGAAATGTATTCCGCCTTCGGTTTTCGGGGTGTGACAGATTGGTATCAGAGCCCTTGTTTATAGTGAATAAAGTATACCAAACCTTACATGGTATAAAACTATAAACACTAAAGGGCCTAAGTGCTCTGAATTAAAAGTATCTTCAAAATATAAGTATTTTCAAAAGTATACAAGTATACCGAACCGTCGCCATCCGTAACCACAAGTAGAACGGAACATAAGTAAATGGGTGTTGTGTACTACGGTTAAACCTGGGCAGTTATGTAGTCGTGTCTAGGGTCAATATAGCCTGGCCAACTATATTCATTCGAGACACGACCAACATGTGCTTGGGAGTGACTGTGGTATGACATGCCTAAAACTTACCCTAATATCCCAAACATCGAATCATTATCGTAAACAATTCATGAAATACTATGGGAGTATTCTCTCGATCCAATCTGTAGTAATCCTCATTCGAGTAGTTTTCTGTGATTACTCTTAGCGATAAATTATCTGTTCGATAACTCTTTCCTGCTTTATCGCTTACTCGAATCATATAACTGTCATATCTATCGATTCAATGTAGAGGACTTACCATCCTCTCTTTCTTGATCTTATTAGATCAAGATGCCTCCCCGAAAAAGACCTAGCTCAAAGAACAACGACAATCCTTCTTCGCCGCCACCTCCTCCTCAGTTTGACTTAGCATCAGTCCAGACTATGATGACAGCTGCAATGGTAGCAGCTATGTCACAAATGAACCCTAGTGGTTCAGGTGGTGGTACTCAATCTCAAAACCCTGAGGGTAGCCAGGGACACCAAAGGGGGGGTTCCTACAAGGATTTTATGAATGCGAAACCAACATCTTTTAATGGCACTGGAGGTGTCATTTCCTTATCTCGATGGTTCGAGAAAATCGAGTCCATCTTTGAAATCTGTGCTTGTGCGGAATCCGATAAAGTCAAATTTGCAGCCTGTACCTTCGCGGATAAAGCTTTGACTTGGTGGAATGGCCGAGTCAAATCTCTGACCTTACCCGTAGCCAATGCCATGGGCTGGGAAGCCATGAAGGAACTTCTCATTGCTGAGATTGCCCCCGTGGTGAAATGCAGAAATTAGAGCACGAGCTCTGGAACCTGAAGATGAAAGGTTCCGACATTGCTGCATATACTTCCCGATTTGATGATCTCGCACTTCTCTGCCCGGGGTTAGTCACTCCTGAAAACAAAAAGATCGAAAGGTTCGTTTGGGGATTATCTCAACCAATAAAGAGTCATGTTTTGGCTGCTCGTCCGGATACCTATGATAGTGCCAAGACCTTAGCACAAATTCTGATTGATCACAACGACGATGTCAAGGAAATCACTACCACTTCTGAGCCGACTCAAAGGAGTGGTGAAAAGAGGAAATTCTGGAAAAAGAAGAAAGGTCAATCTTCTCAAGGATCATCTAAGAAACAACAAAACGGTAGCAGTCCATGCTGCTACTGCTACTCCTGTTGCTGTTGTTTCTGCTTTGGGATCCACAGCCTCAACTCCTACTAGTAAATATGCTGGTAACCTTCCTCTGTGTGACAAGTGTAAATACCACCATCATCCTGGTCCCTGTCGAGAATTGTCTTGCACCAACTGTGGTAAGAAAGGGCACACAGTTCGGTACTGCAGAACCCCTACTCAATCAGCTAACCAATCATCGGGAGCAGGTGTTAGTCAAGCCTGCTACAACTGTGGCGAAGTTGGGCACTTTAAAAGGGATTGTCCCAAGAAGTCAACTGCTGGTAACACTGGAAGGGTCCTAACCATGGGACGGGAGGAAGCAGTTGCTGATCCCACTGTTGTTTCGGGTACGTTCCTTCTCGACAATTCACATG